TTAGTCACATGACCATGGGCGTGGCCTGATGACGTCATCACTAGTGTTACTGATCATGAAAAAGTTAAAACACATGAAATAACTCTGAACTAACCAAAACTGATGAGGTTATATGAGAATAAATTTTCCTTAGCAACGGCTCGAAAAGATCGGCGCCCTTAAGTGCTTCGTGTTTTGTGCGTTGCAACAGAGTATTTTCACATTACATCCGAGTCACTGCGGTCATTTTGTTGTACCTGAACCAATCCTGTAGGAGTTGAACTTTTTTTTATGCAAGCACTTTCTTTTGCTCCCAAGAAATGTGCATGACTGCTGACCACATGAGTGACAGCGCTCTTTAGTGGGTCATGTGACTACTAATGAAAAAGGTATAAGGTATCTCTCAGAAAGTAACTGCACGGATCTCCAGGGATCACATATGTTGTGTCGTTTTGTTCTGTCAGTTCGTGGTCCTCAGCATGCACGCACTTTTACGCGCAGTTTAGCAGTCAATGGGTTCAGTTATTAACCTTCGCCTTAATCAGTAGATAACACTCACCTCGACCTTGGCCGACGTGAATTTTGTTCTATATTTCACTGACCGCAATTTAAACCTAATTGGGCAAAGCGTACGTCAGTAGGCATTCCTCTCATTCCATTTTGAGGTCCGTACCTAAATAACTGATATATATTCTGTTTAAACCTCCCCTCCTTTAGACATGCTCAGAAATGCTTACTGACCCTGATCAACTGTATTTTTGGAAAATATTCATAGGAGTTGACACTAAAGAGAGAACAATCCAAGATGTTTTTTAATGTGTTAGTGCACCAACGGGACTAGTGCCCGTGTTTTTTGTTTGTTTGTTTGTTTGTTTGTTTTGTTTTTTGTTTTTTCTCTGTTTGTTTGTTTGTTTTTGTTTTGTTTTGTTTTGTTTTTTTGGGTTCAAATGCCTCTTTCAAAATCTGGACAGGGGTTTATTGCTGCTTTTCGTTCATTGACCGGTCAAATCACACCTACCAACAAAGCATAATACATTTCAAAAAGAACTCACCAACATCGCGAGAAGTTCAAACTACTAATGAAATTTTTGAAAAAAAAATTCTAAAGCGTACTGAAAGAAGGTTTTTCTTTTCTTGACCACACAAAATTCACAGGCTCCTCCAGCCTTACAAAAAAAAGAACTTCCGGTGAAAATCGTCCTTCCTTTTTATCCATTTTACAGCACTTTAAAGGGGACAAGAGATAAAATCCATATGATGAAAAGCTTTTCGCATCTATCAAGAAGGGAAAAACAATAACAAAATAAATGAGAAACACTGAACGTAGCACGATCTTATCGTAAATAGCAAATGAGCAACTTCAATCAAAACGGTGCGAATCAGAAGGTTCGGCAGAAATAATAACAGTCCTCTAAGCACCTTCCCGGCATGTAATTTCAATTTCATTAATTTGCATTGGAGTTAAATGTATTTAAGAAAATATTTTGTATTTGGCATTTAACAATACAATCTTGACTGTACTTGCAGATCGCAAGATAGAAAAGATTTCAATGTACCCAAATATTGACCATTTGAGTCGACAAGGGCGGATTAACACTTGAATATGAGAAAACCCAGCCACGTAATTGCACGAATCCGAAACGAATGTACGCATACAACACTTGTTCTTTGTAATTCAAATTTTGTACTCTGTCATTATTTTCACAACTCGATCTAAAATGCCTTGCGATTGTGTGAAAGCAATTACGCAGCAAAAAGTGCGCGTTTTAAAAGCATTCTTTAAGCATACGTATTCGGCTCGACGAATTCATTAACAATCTGTTAAGGAGCTGTGCTTTAAATAAAACCACCTACGTAATCAACGTATCAAATATGTTGAGGGATCACGTCCCACGAAACACAGCATTCGATTTTCTTTAGTGATATTGTATTAGGTAAATTCCTACTTGCGTCGATCACACATTCTGTTCTGCTGATCGATAAGCTCTCAAAAGTCTTTTCTTTTTTGTTTTAATTCAACCTTAATTGTCACTTACAAGACTACGATTTCGTTTTCATGTACTTGTGTCTATTTAATGATGTAAGGAGCCAAAAACATATGTCATTACTTTCAACCACTTCAAAGAATCTTTTCTCTCAGTAGCTAGCATCCGTCGTGAAGAATTAAATTGTTAATTCCTAGTCTTTCACCTAATCTGGATTGAACGCCTCTTATGAATTTGATATTTGCCACGAATACACGATTTCTTTTTTTATCAAAGCAACCTTGGCAATCCCTCGTTTGTGATTTCTATGGAATTTTCTAATTAAATTTTCGAAGAGTTGTTTTGGATGTGAAATGACGCCCAATTATTGCAGATTTCAATTATCGTTGATGAACAAAACTCTCACTGATTTTCCAACTAATTCTCGGCCGATGACAGACACGTCGGCTTCAAAATCAGAACGAATACGCTACTTGATTCAAGCCTCGTGCGCGTAATCTTGGGAACTAAACATTAAAATCTGCAACACCAGAAAACAAAGAAACTTCTCTCGGGTTCCTCCAATAGCAGCGAAGAAAAAATCTCTAGAGATTATTAAAAGGATTTTTCACAAGACAGGTTTAATTTTAATGATCCTTCAATGAAAACCGCAGTTTCACTTCTTTCATATCAAGCACCTCACGATCAAAAAAATAACCTGGAACTAGTTGGCCGTCAGAAATAAGACGTGATTTTAAACCAAGTGATCACCTTAGGCATCTAGGAGAGAGCACTTTAAGAAGAAAGCTTGACTAATCTTCGGGCAATTCGTTTTAGGAGCAGCTGCAGAAGAGGGCCTTATATGTAATACGCTGTCGCAAGAACGAGTCGAGCAACGACTGAATATGGGAAACAAAAACACAACAACAGAGGTTAACAGTTACACTTTAGAACCAGTCAGCCCCAGAACCTTTGTTGCTTTGATAGTATCCTGGACTTTGCTGGGACTTGTCTCGGCGGGATTAAACATTCTCGTCTGCGCAATGGTGTACTTCAATAAGAAACTTCGCACTATGACGAACTATCTAGTCGTTAGCTTGTCAGTGTCAGACTTGCTTGTAGCAATCGTATTTGTTCCGGTGTATATTATCGACCACTATGCTAAAACTATAATCGGTGGTTATTTCGTGGCTTTCATCCTGTTAGCGACGGTCTTCAACCTCTGCGGCGTAACATACGAGCGTTATATCGCGTTAACACGACCGTTCCGTTACCGAACTATCATGAGCTGCCAAAAGGTGTCCACGATCATTGCGATTTCGTGGATCATTCCTTTGCTGTTATCGCTTCTTCCATTGGCATGGAACACCGACGTGAAGTCCACCATTCACAAAGTGTACCTGGCGATTGTTTTGGTGACGTGCATCTTCGTCCCGTGTACGACCATGGTTTGTGTTTACATGCGCCTACTGCGAGTCGTCCACCGGTTTGTGCTGAGAAACAAGAAGCGAACATCCAAAGGAAACGCCACTGGACATCGAGCGGGTAACGACGAGAAAGCGGCGCGCGTGTTCGCCATCGTGCTCGGGATGTTTCTTCTTTGCTGGCTGCCCCTGATTTACATTAACATCTGTTTGATATTCGACCAGAATCAGCTTGTCACTAACGAGCTGATTTTCATCTCCTTTTACACGTTGGTCTTAAACTCAATCCTGGATCCTGTTATCTGCGCTTTTTACAAGAAGGATTTCCATGAGATGATGAAGAAACGGTTAAAGTTGAAATGTTTCTCCCAAGAAGAAAGCGGCCTGCAGGGCAAACTGGATTCTGATATGGCTTTAAGAAAAGTTTCTACCAGAAGCAAGATCGTCGCGGAAGAGACAGACATAGGACCAAAGACAACCACCTTCGTATAAGTCTGTCACAAACTTTGAGAGACATGTTGGTTTATTCTTAAAAGTATAAAAAGTTTACCGTGATAGTAAAAACAAGTACATAGAAAATCTAAAGGTCGTTAAAAACTGATAATTTGTTTTTTTTTTGAGGATGTTCGCAAACTGGCAAATGAGTTTCGATCAATTTTTGTGGAGATAGACTAATGTGGAAAAATTATTGTTAATATATCGTCAATTCTTCAAGTACAGAATTCTTGTGGACATGTTCATTTAAACGTCCAATCTCCACTATAAAACAAAGCTATTTAATGTATTTATAAAGTGTCCTTCAAGAAAACTCCTCAAATAGGTATTTAGTTTGTCGCTAATACAAAACAACTGCATTAACGAGTTTATATCATATATTAGCTCAGTCGAAATTCGCAAATAAACTCAACATGTGTTCCAAAATTGAAAGGAACGTGGTTTTAGTAAATTACATATATGAGGCTGTGATTTTCAAGTGATAATTACAATTACATTGAGACTATTTACTGCTTTTATAGGATATCTCCGAAATGCTAACAAGTGCAAAGATTCGCACTGGTGAAATAGCTATTTTTATGAGTTGCCTTTGTAAATTGGCGATGTATTGGAAGAAAGGAGATAATTACGATATTTCATAACGATACAACGTTGGTGCGATGCCCCAAAAGGTCATTATGGCCTAATCTGACTGGAACAATATATTCCGCATTTGTAGAGCTAATGCAATTTGAATTCTATTTTCGAATTGTCCGAAACAAAAAGATTAGCTAATATTCTGCATTTGTGAATAAACTCTTGTCTTGAAACAGATGGCATAATGTGTATTGACTCGACTGGGTTTTTGTTTTAAGCTGAAGACCGAAAGGCCATGAGAACGCGAAAACATGAAAAACGACACTGATTTATTTCTTCGATAAAAATTCATCTGGAAAAGGCAGTGCCTAATTAAGCTCGCTTTCTATCTTTTAATGCCTAAAGCTTTGATGTGATGATTCTATTTACACAGAGATTACTATCAGCGATATTAGAGAGATATTTTGTTCGATCGTAGTAATATGTTCAGTTGTTTGCAGTTACACTGTTCAGTCGCCTTACGCGATTTCGTGCAGGTGAAAATAAATGTCAGTATCACTTTGCACACAAGCACTTTGTTATTTATTTATTGAAACTGCGAACCAAGGAAAAAAGAAAGATCACTGTCAAGATTGCGTATGGCAAATCCAAAACCAAGGAATAACTTGCAAAGCATAAATGATTTTGGACAAATTGACTGATGAATGTACTGCTAGACTACTAGAAAAAACTCTCGTTTAAGCGATTTCAAAGACAGTAATGATAAACTTAACGGAATCGAAAACGGGAAAATCTAACATTTAAGGCGTTTTAGGAATTTCTCGCGTAAAACCATAGTTTTTGGCTGAATTAATAATGAAGCGTAATTATTTCGTAAGAAAAATTGCTAACTCAAAAAAACATAAAATCTAATAACCGCCTGATTTTGCCCGTATCAACGTAACACTAATTAAATGCACGGTTAAAATTTGTAATGTGAAACATGCCCAACTTATATTTCAACAAGCACTGGAATTTACTTTTTTCAGTAATGGATGTGCCGTTTATTTTAAGATAATTTTACTGAGAGAAAGATAAATAAATGAATAATCGCTTGCAAGTTTCTAAACACAAAGCTAGCTGTTAGCAAGCCGTTACTCTATAAAATTTGCATTCGATTTTGATCCCTGCCGCCGTATCAGTTTTTAAACGACTTATCGACATAAAGAGTCGGCTTAATTTGACGCACCGGTAGCGCAAAATACATTATACGTATTTTCAGTCTTCATACACGTACCGCGGAATTGTATATCGGTGATATTTGAAAATATATCAGCCCGAAAACAAGTCAGTTGATTCGCCCCGGTAAAATACTAGGCAAGCTACTGGTAAGATATTTTCTCTTCTTTATTAAATGATAGACTATTACCTAAAAATCTGTAATGGTTTCATCAACAGAAAACAAGACGGACCTAATTTTTAAGAAAATGTTAGATAATTTAAAATCATCAGTCCTAGAATGTATTTTAAAACAGCAATCAACCAGACTCGCAAATATAAAATCTGCACCTTTGAAAAAAACACTATATAATGAATTATAAAATGCACTTTTATTGTAATGGGGTATTCTTTATTAAAACCGCTATCACACCCAAAACCACATACTCCTTCGTCTTCTACTTAATTCAGTGTTAAGCTAAATCATTTCACAACGAAAATACTTAAAATCCGAGAACGAAAGGTCTTTGCAAACACTTTGCTCGTCGACTCAGCTCTCATATTAACCTAACAGTAATTGGCAACGCATGCTGCATAATCATATATGATCGAAAAGATTTTGAATTGAGAAACTCTGTATTAACATCAATTTGAAAATCGCAGTTCGAAGCAAAAGAGTTTGTCAAAAGATTCTAACAAAAGGTTTCCAAGTTAATTTCTTAGCTTAATTTACACATTTGGATTTGAACTTTCTGGACTTGAACAACCTAAAAAATTAATGGTAATCATCAGTCTTTCGTTTCTTTCATTCACCTTTTCATTCCAATTTCTCTGTAATGAATTAATTAGCAGATAATTTAAATGCTATTAGACATTTATCTCTTGGGCACTATAAAAATAAGTACATATATTTCCTTGACGTAGTTTTTCCGTGTTTCTTTCTTGAATAATGGCATTACTGAAGTACGTCAACACGTCACCAAAGTAGAAAGGTTTACGTAGAGGATTTCAAGCCAATTTTCAATGCGCTTCCGAGCGGCGAGCTCCAAGTAATCGCAGGACAAGACGGTCTATGATGTTGGGAAAATAAAAGAAGTTGGAAAAATGCAATTAACTAAATAAACCTCTATGCGTAAGCCAATTGTAGTAGCTGAATTATTTGTCCTATATACGTTTATATTTAATTCAAAATTACCCATTCTAGACCAAAACTACAAAAATGAGTTTTCTGTACTAATTGTACGAAGATTTCATGTTAATTCATATTAGGTCAGATTAGTTCAGATAATTTGTTGGTGCCCTTGTTAGTGAGCTTCTTTTTCCTCATCATCTGTACGCTAATAACAATGCTCAGCAGTCCTTATTCTGTTATTTCGTATCGAATTGATCCTCAGTCTCATTATAGTATTTACAACTCTCACAAAAGTACGTGTTTCGTTTATTTGACACAACCATTCGAGATCTCGCAGCAATGAAGAAATTGGTGTACCTATCAAAAGTAGCACCAACATGGCGGCAATTCAAAGAAAAAATGAGCATTGCTTGAGGGCACAAGGTTAGACTCGACGAGCCAGTCTTTCACAGGATCAATTGTTTCCAAATGTCGTGTATCATAGCATTATTGTTAGTCTGTATTCTCTAGCTCGCAAAGTGACGGTAGAATTAAAGATTTTAAGATTGCAAGTCAAAACTGATTATTGCTGTTGTATCTACTGACAGACTTATAAATGATATGTACATTATCGTGCAACTTGCGTCTGAAATAATTTGTATTCATGTACGTGGATAGGTACAATTCACCAAAACTGATTTTTGTTTTTCAATTTTTCTCACGTAAGGACTCCAATTTCCCCTACACATTTCAACACGTACTTTGTAACTCAGGGCTCGGGTGGGGTGGGGGTGAGGGAGTTGGAGCTGGGGCTGGGGGTGGGGGGGAGGGGGTGGGGTTCTCACTTCTTAAATAATCTTTGCAGGTAAGTTCTGCCACAAATGGGTTGAATTTATACTTGTTTAATTTCGCAGTCGGATTACATTTTTCTGGTCATAAATAAATACATGTCTTTAAAGCGTTTAAAGGGTTCTACAAGACCGATATATCAATGAGAACATTATATCTAAACATATACGAGAAAAAGAAAAGTGAGTAAGAAAATTTATTACTAAACGATGCGATATACAACTAAAGATACACATTTTAGACGATCAAACCTTAAAAAGAGTACTGGAGAATGTCCGGGCACCCAGCCCCACTAACGCAACATTGCCTTTACCCTCTCCTCCCCAAGACAACTGCATTCGACTGGATGGCTGTCACAACATTCTCCTGGGAAATAACAGCTCACATCAAGTCGAAAAATGTTATTGTAATGGTTAATTAGATTTTAAGGCTAATTAGACTAGAGAAATACGAAAGGAATAGACTTTTATGTAAATAGCATGCACGGGTCAACGCTCTTCAATTTTTTCAAGCAGACCGACACATGTTTTTCCATCTGGAGTTACACAACAATGGTGTTATTTACTTTCCACAAGAACAATGATAGTAAAAATCCCTTTTAAATCCACCCAGGAACAATATCGAGCAAAGACATTGTCAACAAGGTAATTATTATGATAATATCGCTGCTAAAAGTGGATGTATAATTGTGCAGTTAGTAATCCGTAGACGAGCGCTTTCCACACGCTTAAACATTTGAAATACTGGTAGATTCTGAAGAAGGTGCAAGTGTTGGTGAGTTGAATAGGGAGTTGATATTGAGCTAGATCAGATTTTTTCATAACTTCTAAAGATTTTCGTGATGATATTTGTGTTCCGCTATGAACAGTGTTTGCATCTCAGAAGCGCCAACAATGTGAGACGAGAGTCTTGTTTTGGGGGAACCTGGTGTCAAACGTTTTGAATCTTCATGCTCATTTGTGTCTATATAGCAGTTAAACTCGTTTTTAAAGAAATCAATAAGAAAAGAAGGTACACAGATGTACAAAGTTTTACAAAATTGACAAGCTACGCACAATTCTGAGATTTTTATGTTTACTTCACGGGAGCTTAATTAAGTGAATCATTTTGTCGTCACGCTGTTGTTTATAGCTTATGGCCCTGCTGTTTTCCAACTTTTTCGATGTGCCTTGTATCAAGTGTTTAAAGAATAGCTAAAGAATGAAAAAACGTAATGCAGTCATCGATAAAGGCCTCGCTTCGTGGGTGGCAATGAAAAAAAAAAGGACGAACAGCAATCAGGCAATACGCTGGCCATTAAGTCGATTATTACCAGATGATACTTGTTTTGATAACTATATGATAGCTATTTCTTTAGATGGACATCAGATATCGATATTTATCACCAAAATGCATGCTAAAACAATGGCCTCTACTGAAAACATTATTTTATTTATCAGTTCCTCCAGGCGTTTCTCAAATCATCTTTTTATTCAGCGCAAGAGTGACTGGGCAAAAACGATGACAATTAATTTCTTTTTTGAGCACAAGATGGTAAATTAATGTTCTTTATAATGAAAAAATGGAATTTCATTTTCACAACTGTATGCCATGAAAACACCTTACTTAACGTATGGACCACGAAATAATTGTTTTTTTTTTACTTTCACTTCAGTCTGTATACTCTTTGTAAGGGTAGTTAACGATTTTCTGCCGAAGAAACGAAACCTTGACTATTTACATTTACTGTTGCTTTTGAGTTACGATTCTAACCCGAAAAACATGTTGTACTCTTACCTTCGTTCAGTACGGCATAACATTTCATGTAAAATCACCCAATCCTGCATAAGCCAAACAAATTATCTTTATACTTGGGTCTGAGACGAAAGTAGTGTTTACTTGCCTTCGTTATGTTACGGTCGTTAAACACAGTAGCAACTACTGCGGGTTATAACTATCCTCGTTAAATTTATCCCACTTCGCATTTCGCAACGACTAACAGCGCATAAAGCGTAACATTTGTTGTGAAAACATCAGGCGTACTGACATAAAAAGAATGCTTTCTTCATTGTTCTAGTACAGCAGGCTTCATACATTCGTCAACTAAATAAAAGGATGCAC